GAGTCAAATTTGAAACAATCGGTTTAGGGGGCCCCTGGGCACACAGAAAGAAATTTTGTTTGAATTTTAGGCAGTTGGCGGCCCCCATCAAGTCAGGGCTCTAAGCACGGGCCCCGTATGCTCATATGGTAAAGACGGAAAATCATAGAAAGTTAAGGCCCCTAGAAAATGGATTCGCGTATTGATAGGATAGACAGTCTTTTAGCTTTATGTGCGTTACTTAGTGATTAACCGTAATTACAAGTATAAAAGGTCATATAAATACGTCTCTCCAAGATAAAGATTAACATCTCCTTGTGCTTATTTTTGTCAGTGTATGTAGGAGGGTCCGTGATCCGTGATCCGTGAACAAACTCTTCGCAAAAAAAATGTTGGAATTGGCCACATTCCACTTTTATGGAGGTTATTTTTTTTAAATCTTTAACACTTTGTATGATGAAAACCAGACTTAGGCCAAATGTTTATATGCACTTTTCTTCTTGGTCCAGGAATGCGCATTCGTAATTACGGCATATCATTGAGTAGAGACAATGCCAGTAGCAAGCCAATCAGGCAAATTATACCATGAAATCTTTGTGGGTGTGCTCTTTTAAAATATACTAACAGACATAGAAAAAAGAACACCCAGTAATAATGAATGTATTACAATTTTTTTGTATACTCGTACGTGTCTCTTAGGCTTAGGTAAGTAGCTGATCAAAATTTGAGAAAAATCCTACCGTTGGAAAAAATGTAATGAATTAATAATTTGTTAGGAGTTTGCGATGTCTCAGACACGTTTGGGCCGCTGGAGCTTGTGGAGTATGAGGTAAACGGAGTAATATTCTTCCCATAATTTCCCAGATATGCTTAATGGGTGATAGATCGGGAGATCTAGGAGTAAAGCAACAAATCGAATTGATTGTCTTCAAAATGGACCAACGTAAAACTATCAAACCTAATCCGCTACTGAATCTCCATCAGATCAAAAGTGAGAAGGTTAGCAAAATATAATATTTATTTACGAATCGGTTCGAAAAGACAAACCAGAATCGCACACACACACACACAGCAATATCGAACTTGTCGACATAATTTTAATTTATGGTGGATATCTTCAAAATGCTATGGCGGCTTCGCGAGTGTCTGCAGATTGCCCGAAAACGAACGACGGCCGTATTTAGACTTCTGTGCACCTTGGCGGCTATTTATCCAAAGCAGGGGTCGGCAATCTTTGAGAGCCAAGGGCCACAAGCTGGCAAAATAAAGAAAAAGAGGAATCAAAAAAGAATTGTATTACTTTATTTCTGAAAAATGAGAAACAATAACAAAAAAATAAACAAACATTTGTTTAGTTACCTAATTATAATCAGTAATTATTTATTCAGTTAGTATATTTAGGCATAAACATTCAGAGACAATAAAGTCGCTGGCCGTAAGCAGAGAGCCGCGCTTTGTCGACCTCTGCTCTAAAGACCCAACCAACCTCACATAAGCCCATTATTCGCTCCCTATCAAACTCACTAAGCTGTATGAAATTTTCTCGTCTTCTCATTGTATGCATAATCAGCTCTTCACAATCTATTGTACTATGATCAAATGCCAATTACAGCTACAAAACACAACTGTCGCTTACTTTTTTTGTAAGAACAGACGGTATCACAATAACAACTTTATCGATATGGCTGGAAAGCTACTTGTCTTATTTCCCACTCCTAGTGGCGAACATTTCTAAAAATCAGATATTATATTTCCTGAATGTTATATGACGTGTATACCACGAAAAACCATGTCACTCATTTCCGTCGGTCTATCTGGCTGTCTGTCCGCTAATCTTATATCCGCCTTAGCTTAAGAAGTACCGGTCGGATTTTGATAAGCTTCTTACACAATGTTACCACTATGCCAAGGACGCAAAAGCTTTGTAGTTTTTGAAAATCGTCCAGCTGCAGAGAAAAAGACAACACGAAAACAGTAAAAATCACCAAAACTTCGTTTTTTGACGTCTCAAATAATGAGGAGGTGGGGAGGGTTTATTTAAATTTTTTAATGCTGGTATATTTATACGCCAAAATTGGTAATTCCACTCATCTATTGTACATTGAAAACTTAGGGATACGATCACAGGTATTTCTGCCGCGCAACAGCATAGTGTTTTCTATGCTCTGACCGCGCTACCACGGTGACACGTTTGCTCGACTTGAGTATCGGTGAAAGGCGACAATTTCAGATGCACTACCGGCAGGCTAGGGAAACAAAATCTGTAGACTAATTGTATGGACCTGTTTGACTTACTGATAAGTGCAGATTGCATCTACTTGACTCCATTTTTTTGTCCTGAACTAAACAAGCATAATCATTGTAATAAATTAATTATTACTAGGTGTTCTTTTTTCTATGTCACGTAGTACAGCTATTATGTCTTCGATATGCAGAATGCAAAGGGGCCCTCTTGGCAGTTTGCTTTTTGTATTGATCCGTGAAGTGTATCCATATACCTACATTATTTCCGAACTTGTTAAAGCTAAGAATAGCAGCAATATGGGACGTACCGGCGTACCATAGCGGAAGTTTGCGATGCATATTACAGATATGATTATACCTCCACATATGTGCTTCAAAACCATTGTTATATATAATGGCATCAATAATTCTGATAAAATATTTTGAGCGCACACTCTATGTATCTGATGATTCAATCATTCTGACTAACCCACTCAGCAAAAATATTTTCATATAGCGTCAGTGTAGTTCTGATAGTGCGTAAGTCAAAAATCCTACTTTACAAGAGAGTAATAAAGTTGAGTCAAATAACCATTAACAACCCTTGACGTATAGAAGAGTTGTACTGACAAATACGGCAATATTGGTCCATTATCTCGTTTGAGACCAGTTGACTAAAGGCGTGTATACTACCGTCATCGAATGGCATCAAAATATAAGTAATATTTTAACATCACATTTCCAAAGGGTTTAACATCGACTGAGCATACGCAGTGGAGAAAACATGTTAAGCAAGGGTAAAATACTTGGGAATTATTGCAGATCGCACAAGATCTTGCGTTTGGTTCAGTGAGTTTGATAGGGGGCGTATAGTGGGACTTCGGGAAGCTGGACTTTCTTTTCGGGTAAATTGCAGTTAGAGTCCAAAGAAGTGTAGACACTGTGGTTAGGTGTTGTCAGGCATGGCTTTGAGAAGGTCGTACGCAAAGAGCAAGGGGCACTGGACGCCGCCGTAGAACAACAGATCGTGAAGATCGCCGCCTAAGATTATTGACCTTAAGGGACCGTTTCTCCACTACCAGGTCCATTGCAAATGAATGGTTTGCAAAACACGGAAGACCTATTGGCATGCGAAGTGTTTACCGACGAATGAGAAGTTTTGGCTTGTTTTCATACCGGCCACACTGGGTCCTCCCTTTAACTCGAGAACACCGACGTAATCGCCTTGAGTGGTGCAGACAACGGTCACTCTGGGATCAGGAATGGAACAGTATTGTCTTTAGTGACGAGTCTCGATTTTGTTTAGGCGTGCACGATGGTCGTGCCAGGGTTAGAAGGCGACGTGGTGAAAGGAGGAATCCACAGTTTTTTGTTGAAAGACATGTTCATCACACTGTTGGAGTTATGGTTTGGGGTGCTATAGCTTATGGTTCCAGGTCACTTTTAATCTTCATCAGAGGTAACATGAACGCGCAGCGTTATATCCACGAAGTTCTAGAACCCCATCTTTTACCCTATCTTGATACCCTGACAGATCCAACTTTCCAACAAGATAATGCCCGACCACATGTTGCAAGAGTCACAATAGACTTCTTTCAACATAATGATGTCACATTGTTACCATGGCCACCAAGATCTCCCGACTGATCCCCAATTGAGCACGTGTGGGATATGAAGGGTAGGGGATTGCTCAATTTGCAACGTCCTCCTCAGACTCTAGAAGCACTTCGAGAGGAGTTGGTGGTTGCCTGGAATGAGATACCACAGGAGGACATTGACCACCTGATCAGAAGCATGCCTAGGCGCGTTGGAGAATGCGTAGCACATCAGGGTGCATCCACACATTATTAAAGGTCAAAGGGCTTTAAAGCAGAGCAATCATTTTGAAATTTTTATCATTTACTTATTATGCTTCATTAAGTACTTATACAAAATTTTATTAAAATAAAACCATTTAAACTGGGTGTTCGGATTTATATGTCACACAAAAAAGCATTTCTTCATCAGCTAACACAAATAATAAAAAATTCTGAATTAGCTTTTCATTATTTATCGCTTAATCTGCTGCGGGGTTCCGTAATGGTCAGTACAGCCCTAGGAAATCCCCTTTCAATGGGCGCTGATGTTACAGGTGTCGATAAAAAAATCTCTCGCCATTAAAACTAGATTTGGAAATATATTATCCTACCCTTTCGACACTCGTGATTATTTGCATTAAAATACAATATGCGGCTCATCGGTTGCATAAATAAATATCACTGAAGGCGTTTAGTAGAACAAAAATATGATTTTCTATCAAGTAACAAGCAGGTTGAAAATGCTTGTTCTCAAGTGGAACAATAAAAGGATCCAGTCGAGTCTTGCATTAAGGTTCCTATTAATTTTTTTTTGAAGTCAAATATTTTATAAAAATATCAAGCTACTTGATTTGATGAATCTCGAATTCTAACGATGTCTTTTTGAGATCGATGCTGTAGATAGAACCTGGGCCTAAGTGGTCTAAACATTTAAGAAGCTGAGAACCTTTGGACCAATAGAGCTTTGGGCCCATTGGGTATTTTAATCAAAGATAAAAAACGAGCAGGACGGCAAAGTTTGATAAAAGTCAACCAGTCCCATATATTGTGTGCGCAAACTTTTTTTAAGCGGCCACAACTCTCAAAAAAAATCATTTTCTTAGAGTCTGAAGTTCCCGATCAGTTTGTATTGCGAATTTTATAAAAAAAATTATAGTTATGCGTGGGAGGTGAAAATAATTGAAGAAACTGTCGTACAGAATAAAGGAAAATAATACTTACATACATAAAATTAGAGTAAATCCAAGGTAATCACAGACACGATATTTAATACAGACGCACCTTGAAACGTTCGATAGCAACTGTCCGATTCACAAGCACAGCGATGGTGATGGTTTGAATCGTGCTTCTCGTATGAACACCTAACAAAAATCCAACAACCATGAGCGTTCTAATCACAGGCAAAGAATTCAGCCTATAAAGAGTAGAAGCGTCACTGCTTGGAAAAAACAATTTCTGACGAGACTTATTTTATAGAATTTATAATGTATACTAAGTGACATATAAATCCGAACACCCAGTTTAAATGGTTTTATTTTAATAAAATTTTGTATAAGTACTTAATGAAGCATAATAAGTAAATGATAAAAATTTCAAAATGATTGCACTGCTTCAAAGCCCTTTGACCTTTAATAATGTGTGGATGCACCCTGATGTGCTACGCCTTCTCCAACGCGCCTAGGCATGCTTCTGATCAGGTGGTCAATGTCCTCCTGTGGTATCTTATTCCAGGCAACCACCAACTCCTCTCGAAGTGCTTCTAGAGTCTGAGGAGGACGTTGCAAATTGAGCAATCGCCTACCCATCATATCCCACAAGTGCTCAATTGGGGATAAGTCGGGAGATCTTGGTGGCCATGGTAACAATGTGTGACGGGCACCAACGGGAACGACTGAAAATCTCCGTTTAGAACGGGTGTCCATATAAAAGAAATATAACAAAAATCATGCTTTATGCATGTATATAAAAGTTTTTGAAATAAATAAAAAATTTTAGACTTGAAAAAAAGGTTTGTTAGCTACAGATATATAGAAATTATGTACATAGATATGTATAAAATATGTATGTACATATGTATGAACATATGTATATGTAGTAACACAAAACAATGAAATAAAAAGTCACCTTGAGGACGCAAAAATTTATACATTGTTGTTTGTTTCCTCTTTTTCTCTAAAATGGCGTCTTGAACTTGTATTTCGGATTTAGAAAGAAGCTCCACCGACTCTGTATCTCCCCAATTTTCGACAAGACTTTTGAACTGCTTGGTCAAGGTAATAGCTTTATCATAATTTGGAATAGTTTTTGTTGGTACTCGAACCTCGTCGACATTTCTTGTCCTGAATCTGGCTCTTCAGTCAGTTTCAATAAATTCTTATTTTTGAGATTATCTGAAAGTACATTAAGTGGTAACTCGTCGGCTGGGTTAGGTGTATCAGCCTCATTTAGCTGGTCTTGACTTGCGTAATTTTCATGATTAAATCCTGCTTTGCAGAAGCGATTTTGCACTGTTTCGTTGGTTACTTAACTAATTTTCTTTATTAACTTGAAAGCTGTAAATGCAGTTTCAATGTTTACTAGCAGCAAGGGCGGGGGGGGGGGGCGGATTTAGGATTTCATCTAGGGGTGGCGCAAACGATATTTGGGGCTGGTCATGGAACTTCTAGAAGTTATCCTATTATAGCTCCTTAAATCCATTGTGTCCTATCAGGTCAAGGCCAGCTTGAAAAAAAAAACATGGAAAATGCTCAGAAAGACAATATTTCATTATATGAGGACAAAATAAGTACGTGGCCTTTATAATTAACTAGTGTAATAATATTAAAGATTCAAACATAAAAAACTTCATTGCTCTGTTAACAAACAAAAAAACACAAATTAGGGAGCAAAATTAAGATTTTTGTATTATTTAAGCGAATGTCTTTTGGATGAGATCCCGCATGGTTTAAAAATAACAAAATGTCTCTTTTTTCTTTAGCCATTTCCGTCAGTCCGCTAATGCTTGGCCCGACTATAACTTGCGTCGGTCGGATTTTGTTGAAATTTTCACGCAAGGTTACTACTATGCCAAGAAGCTTTGTAGCTTTTGAAAATTGGTCCAGTAGCGGCGAAAGTTAGGGCAAAATACGTAACTCTAGAATATTTTGAGATACATTTTCATATGGAAAGAAAATTGGGGGTTGGAGGTGGTAGGGTTTGTAAATGTTGTATCTTTGATATCGTCTATCATCGCTCTCCCTATTGTTCTATCATCCAGAAATTGATTCTGGTAGTATTACCCACCTGATATATACAATATTAGATACACATATTTCGCATAATATTCAAGTATGTGACTACAACAACACAAGCTACCCAAGAGCACCGGATGCACTTTATCAGCGGAGGGTCTGATCCGGTTTAAGGAGCGCGCACTGTGCTCCAGCCGCGACATGGTACTACACTGCACGAAAGTTGTCCAGATATTATGTAAAGTCAGAGCTTAATAATATTAGTTCTATAGCATCGCCAGCTATAAGCATTTCCACGGTCGGTAAATAGCGAAGATTCCATAACTAATGGGAGTTATGGTATACGTTTGGATATTCTTTTTTTTTGGTTACTAACTTCCGCGCAATTTCACGCACTTTAAAACCTGTGACTACATTCCAAGTTTTCTCTAAGTGGGTACAGCGGTAAGTGACTTTACGCAGTGACTGGAAGATGCGACAGGTGGATCATCGTCAATGAGTGACGTAGACGATATGAAGCGCTAAAAATGTATTTTTCAAATCGCAACAACTGCCAGGCAATGATATTCAGCGTATATTATTTAGGCGACCAAAATAACAATAATACACAATTACTCTATGCCTTTGCAAACAATTTAAGACGATCTGTCATGTTAAATTCCTAAACCAGGGTCCAACGGCTGGTTCAACAAATCGTGTGACACTGCTCGCCAGCAGAAGATCAAGGCCCACAGAACCTACTTACAAAACCCCACTGTAGAGAACAGACAAGCCGACGTCGACTCCAGAAACAAATATAACGAAGCGGTTCGCAATGCCAAAAACCAGCATGATATAAAAGTTAGGCACAGGGTAATGTCGCAGCGCAATGGCAGTCGGTCTTTCTGGACGCTGGCCAAGCAGATTGAAAAGAACTTCTCACACAGTAGCCTTCCACCACTTACGTGTCAGGATGGAACTATTGTATTCGACTCAAAGGCCAAGGCGGAAGTGCTAGCCAAGATCTTTGCTGCCAACTCTACCATGGACGTCCCCACCAACGCCCAAGTGCCGTCAATTCAAAGGGTTCCCCACACTATGCGGGAAGTAACATTCAGGCATAAGACCGTAAGACGAGTGCTCTTGTCGCTCGACATCAACAAAGCTTCTGGTCCGGACTTGATTCCTGCCATTGTACTGAAGAGATGTGCAGCGGAGCTTGCTCCAGTTCTTTCGCGTCTCTTCCAGATATCTTATGAATCCGGCACCTTCCCAGAAAACTGGAAATTTGCTCATGTACAGCCCATCCCAAAAAAAGGATCTAAAACCGACCCTTACGACTACAGGCCTATAGCTCTGCTTTCTGTTATAAGTAAAGTGATGGAGAGGTGCATAAATCGCGAGCTTCTGGACTACCTCGAACGTCACAGCTTGATTAGCGACAGGCAGTACGGTTTCCGGCACCAACGATCCACAGGGGACCTCCTAGCTTACGTCACGCAACTGTGGAGTAAACTCATCCAGTCTCATGGTGAGGCTCATGTCGTTGCTCTTGACATCACGAAAGCGTTCGATCAGCTGTGGCACGCTGCCCTCTTAAGCAAACTTCCATCCTACGGCCTCCCAGAAAAGCTTTGCAGATGGGTGGCTGACTTTATCTCTGGCCGCAAGATATCCGTCATAATTGACGGAATCTCCTCTTCATCCCACAACGTCAACGCGGGTGTTCCCCAGGGATCGGTCTTGGCTCCAACACTGTTTCTCCTACATATCAACGACCTCCTATCCTGCACGATCAACCCAATCCACAGCTTCGCTGATGACAGCACTCTACATGCAGGAATTCAGAGTGACAAGCCGATCTCTGCCGCTGAGCTGGAAAAAAGAAGACTAGCGACGACTTCTTCTCTGACAAGAGACCTGGAGGCTATCACTGCTTGGGGACGCAACAATCTTGTACAGTTCAATGCTTCCAAAACACAGTACTGTACCTTGACGAACAAAAAGCGTCCTAGCGCTCATACAGTTTCGATGGACGGTCGAGTTCTACCAAAGAGCCATTCATTTCGGCTGGTCGGAGTCCAGATCACCGAGGACCTGATCTGGCACGAACACATCTCTTCAATAGCTGCAGCTGCTGGGAAAAAGCTAGGCTATTTGTTTAGGGCTAAGAAGTACTTTTCTCCGCATGACCTTCTCACTCTATACAAGGCCCAGATAATTCCTAGCCTCGAGTATTGCTCACACATTTGGGGTGCTGCCGCCCAGACTACATTGTCCATGCTCGATGCTGTCCAGAGGAGGGCGGTCCGACTGATCGATGACTCTTCTCTAACAGACAGTCTCGGGACTCTTTCGCACCGGCGGGCCGTCGGTGATCTAGCTCTTTTCTATCGCTACACCAACGGGCTTTGCTCCTCAGAGCTCTCTTCCATGATGCCGCCGCGCGATGCGCCTGCCAGACAGACCCGCCTGACTTCGGCATCCCATCCTAACCGTGTCAAACTTCGTACATCCAGAACTGGCCGATACGACCGCTCCTTTGTCCCGAGGGTGTCTAGATTGTGGAACAATCTACGGGAGGAAGCTTTTCCCAGTTCTACTAACCTTAGGCAGTTCAAAAATCGTATTAACAAAATTTCTTTGGGATCATCCTAGCAGCCGCGGTGTTCCGGCATTTAGGCTTCTGCCTGCGCGGCTGTTTCGATATAAAAAAAAAAAATAATGTTAATTTACGTGTTCCAAAGCATTACCACTCCACCCTGTAAAAATCAATAAAATTGAAATATGAAGCAGTGACGCTTCTACTCTTTAAGTCTGTATTATTTGCTATCATTCTAACATACGGCATTTAAATGCAGATTCTCTCTTTCTTCATGAAGATAGAGGACGGAGCGACATACATTACGTTTACTTTTCTATTTATCTGCATTAGTGTTATTTGTATTTGCCTTGGTCATATCAGATCTTCTCTCTATTACAAATTATCGCTAATTTGGTTGTTGCGCGTTAATCTAAAATACATTTCTAGTACTCTGGATTCGTACTGTTATATTTTTACACGCGTGTAACAATATTTATATGTATTACAGGTAAACATGTTAGAATCTGCTCGGATAGTAGACACGTAGTACTGC